GGAATTGTTCCCTGGCAGGGTGGGCAGGCCCTGGCACAGGGTGCCCAGAGCAGCTGGGGCTGCCCCTGCATCCCTGGCACTGCCCAAGGCCAGGCTGGAGCAGCCTGGGAGAGTGGAAGGTGTCCCTGCCATGGCAGGGGTGGCACTGGCTGATCTTTAATGTCCCTTCAACCCAACCCATGCCACGATTCTGTGATGCATGGCTGCTCACGCTTTGAGTCCTGTCTCAGTTTTGCAGAGTGGGTTAGGGTGCCATTCTCCTCCAGCTTGTTTGTGGATGAATTCCTAAAGGGTTCATATCCGACCATTCCTAAATATTGGGATTATTGTTCCATATCTAAATGGTCAGATTTTCCTGGCTGGAGTGCCATGACAATGGGAGCAGCTGGTTTTGGTGAGAGGTGTGAGTCTGGTGGGTGACACACTGGCTGGTGAGGGGTGTTGCCAGCACAGTCTCCATCCCACACGACAGGGTGGCCTTCCCTCCCCTCACACCCTGCTCCTGAGCGAGCCACTCCCCACGGACATGGTTTGGGTGCTTTGGTTGTTGGGCCCGCTTTTCCAAAGGCTCTGTCTCCCAGCTGGCATTTCCCCCTCTCAGTTAAAAGGATCATGTAGTAAAAACCATTTGGGGTGTGGAGTTGTCAAGGTGCCCTGTGGCTCTGTGTGGCACAGGGATCCCTCAGAACCCTGGATCACACCCCAAGGCACCTTGCTTGGAGCCACAGGGGTGGATTGGTTATGTTCTAGTGCAGCTTTTACTGTTCCCATCCCTGCTGTGGCTGTGGCTGTGCCATCAGGCTTTAAACCCTGTCTGGAGGCTCTTTCTCCTCTGTTAAGGAGTCCTGCAGCAGCTCAAGGCGGGTGTGGGGACAATGCAGGTAATTTCTTCTGCCTTGCAGACAGCTAGAGCCTGGTTTTCATAAGGAGTGAGTTAGGCTGTGCATTTTGCTTTTCAAGAGGGTGGTTTGATGTGGCCAGACCAAATGCCTGCTTCTCCCAGCAGCCTGAGCAGCTTTAGTGCAATTAGCATGGACTGCTCCAATGAACCATAACTCTGGTCTCATTCTGGGACAAAACTCAAAAGTATTTGCTGGTAGCACTACTGGAACTTGTATCCTGGCTTGCTGCCAGAGCCTAAAATTTCTCCAGTTTTCCTAGGTTTTCTGAGCATGTCAGACTGAATGGTGCAGCACTTTTTATCAGGGTTTTATTAATTTCTTCCTCTCTCCATGTAGTGGGTGGTGGTCAAACAGAGGTTCTTGAAATACCTGGTTTGAGCCCTGTTCCTACCGATGGTGGTAGTGGACAGGTTCAGCCTCAGCTTTCAGGATGTTTTAGACATTACAGAATTGCTTCCCTCAGAAAAATATTAATAAAAAGTCATATAAGCTGTGGTTTGCAGCAGTTGTTTCTTTCTATTAAACGATACCCTAGACAAAAAAACCAGACTTAGACTGGCTGCTTACAAGTTGCTTTATATATTTTCCTGTGTTGCTTTGACATCTGAACGTTTTGGTACAATTTTTTCTTACAAGGATTTTTTATACATATGTGTTGATGTCAGTATTGATATCCTGTCCTCTTGTAAGGCTCCTGGGATTACTCTGGATATTCAGATTAACACATTTGGACATGGTGATCTCTACTCAGGCATGCAGAGAGATGGAAGGAAGAGGCTGTTGGAAGAATGTGAAGTTTATGCCAAAAACCTGTGATTTTTCCTTTCCCAGCAGTAGTTTTGAGAAGGAAAATGGATTTAGCCTATTATAACTTAGTGTAGGTGTACACAGTCTTTTCTAATTAACTCTTCTTTGTACTGCTAATTATGGGAGTGAAGGAGATGTTGTTTGGTTTCCAGGCTGAGTCTGACATTTTAGACAGCAAAAAGCACCCCCCCCCCCCCCCCCCACTGAATTGCTCCAAGAGCATCTCAAAAGAACAAAATCTTCAGTCTTCCAGAGCAAAGTTTCTTGTTCCCCAGTAAAGCAAAGCTGTCCAGCTTAATGCATTTAAAGAATCCAAAAAAACACACATAAATTTCTTCCCCTAAAGGAAGAAACAAAAAAGTGGAAGAGAAGCACTGTATATAACAATATATTGGATCCTACATCAGCAGTTTATCCTTGTGAGTCTATGTCCTACTATTTTCCTCAGTTTAAATAAAACCAAAGTGAAACCCCTCAAATTCTCCATTGAAAACGATTGGTAGCAAAGCCTCTAGAATATTATGAAAAGGATAAATAGAAAAAGAGAGTGTTTCACCTGTCTGGATTTGGTTTTAGGTGGGAAAGACTATTTATATTAAATTTAAATCAAAGCACTTCATTACATATGTTACATATATTTTTATCTTAATAATATTGTAGAACAATTAGTGCTAACTCAGACGTGATTAGTGCTTTTGATTCAGCTAATTTTTAGAATGTACAAATGCCTTTCTAGGGTGCAAAGAGGTGAAGTACTCTGGTTTCTGAAGAAAAACCCCAGAATTCTTGCAAAACAAAACAAAACAAAAAAAAATTCTGAAGAACTAGTCTCATACTTTACTGCTGTTTCTTGCACAGCTGAATGATAAGTGGACTGCTTCATGATAGATTTATTTATGTGTGGTTTTTACTTGTTGGAAGAGGTGCCCTGACCTTCCTTTTTCCAGTGTATTGTTTACTTCTGCAGTAGTCAAAATATAACAGCAAATGTAATAGAACTAAATTCCCTTCTTATTCTTTTTATAATCTGTACAAGGAAGGAAAAATATTAGTTTATGATAGCTGTGGAAACTTATTCTAATTATTTTAAATCCAAGCTTGTTTTCCAGGTTAGGTGTTGAATTCAAGAGCTGTGGGTAATATTGGCCCCCTCCAGTGTGGAGGTGTACAAGCACTGATTGAAATACAAGTAAATATTTACAGAAAAACCGCATTGTAGATGATGCACATTACTGCAATTTTAGGAACCTCACGGTATTTAATAGCAAATATTCATTGTTTTATGAGTGCCATAATAAGCAGGCAGATATTTAAAGGGAAGGGATTTGCAATCACAAAGTTCCTTCTGTTAAATGCCGTGCTCAAACTCAGCAATCGAAGAAGATGTGATATCAAACAGTGAAGGATCCCTTGTCAGTGATTTAGGGCCTCCATTCTGCTGTGTTTTGTTTGGTCTTTATCTTGTAAATTTCCATAATTCTCAGAGGAACAACCTTCCTAAAACTCGGGGTAAGAGGCAGCAAAGTGTCTTGATTTTGCTGCTCCAGGATCAGTCTGGTGAAGATGCTGCATAGGGAGGAATTGATTTCTCCTCTGCCTGAGGCTGGGAAGCATTTCTGACATGGTGCTCTGATTGTGGCATCTGATTGCACTAGGGATATGGTCCCTTTGCAGGGAAAAGCTGCCCAAGAGCTAAAGGAAAGACTGATACTGTGGTTCCTGATACTGATTGGATTAAAGGCATTTATTTCAGTAATTTTAAAAAGGCCTAAAAAATAAAACATGTGTTAGCGCACCATAATGACAGTTTTGATGGGAATTCTTCCATAAATTGATCTGGCAGATGGAGAGAAATAGTTCTGATGAAGTGCTACATGCTCCCCCAAGTCCTCCCAAAAGATGGGAAAAAATCAAGACCTTAAAATACATAAAACAAATTGAATTTACTGAGTTCTTTGGCCAGGCATGAGAATTAGAAGCTCATAAAAAGTGCTGTTATCTTGCTCTCAGTAGCTGAATATTGTGAAACTGGGTACTGTTGCAGCAGTGTCTAAAAAAGGATGTTAAACTGTCTCAGTTTGGATGATTTGGTGATTATGATTTGGGTGGTTTATGATCAAGATGCACATTATAACTTAAGCCAAACAAGCATGGTTCTGCAGGCTTATTGCCACTGGGGCTACGTTATCTCTCCATGTCCCATGAGGGGGTTGTGATGCCTGAAGACACCTAGAACAGAGGCTAAGCAGAATAAAGAAATAAATTAGGTGTTTATGAAAAATATATTAGGCTGGAAAAGGATTGTTTTGTCTAAGTAAACTGTGAGGAGATATAACACTTTATATGAAGTTCAGAGTTTTGTACTGATGCAGTGCAGAATCTGGAAAATAGGAAAGCTAAATCTTAAGGTATCATTTCCCCCCCCCCCTTAGAGGCTTGACAAAGTCTCTACCTTGTCTAGTTTCTATTCTAAATATCTACTAATAATAGGTATGTAATAATAGATAAATATCTACCAACAGTAAATGTCTAACAATAGTAAATACGTAACTATGATAAATATCTAACAATGGTAAATATCTAACAGTAGTTAGATATCTAGCAGTAATAAATATCTAACAACAGTAAACATATAACAATAATAAATATCTAACAATAGTAATGTTTTGCACAGTTGGTTATCATGCCAAGAAGACTAATGAATATTATGTGTGGCATTCACATTTTCTGAAAAATCCCTTTGCCCAGGGTTTTTCTCCTGGGAAGCTGAGAAGCCTCAGAGAAAAGGAAAACAATTCTGATCTCATTTGCTTCTCCTGTGTTGTGCTCACATGTAGAATATGTTTGGAGATTGTTTACCCACAGGTGATTGTTCCATTGGATTCTGCTGTGAGTTGTTTTCACTCTTTGGCCAATCAGTGCCAAGCTGTGTCAGGACTCTGGAGAGAGTCAGGAGTTTTCATTATTATCTTTTTAGCATTGTGTAAGTATCCTTTCTGTATTCTTTAGTGTAGTTTAGTATAATATTCTTTATATAGCATCATAAAATAATAAATTAGCTTTCTGAGAACATGGAGCCAGATTCATCATTCCTTCCTTCGTCGGGACACCCTGCAAATACAATAATTACGACCAGTTCTTTAGGCACAGAAGAGGAATCATTTAAAACATTTTTTCACCAGAAACCAGTCTCTGTTTTTACAGTTGTTTGAGGAGCAGAAGCCTTCTTAAACTAAACCCACTAAAGCCCAGCATGTGTCTGCTTTTAGTGACCTGTCCTTTCCCTGGCAGCTACTCGGACATCCTGATTGAGCGGGAGGTGCTGATGCAGAAGTACATCCACCTGGTGCAGATCGTGGAGACCGAGAAGGTGGCGGCCAACCAGCTCCGGCACCAGCTGGAGGACCAGGACACAGAGATCGAGAGGCTCAAGTCAGAGGTGAGTGCCAGAGCCACCAGGCACTCACTGACTGGAGCCTTCTGCTGGGTGGGGATGCCTTGGGAGGCTCCTAGAGCAGAGCTAGACAGAGCTAAAGGAATAAAGTGGGGATTTATTGAAAGTCCTTCAAAGGATTCACCTTGGGCAGTACAAGAACCTGGCCATGGCTCCACCTTGGGTGGAGCAGAATCAGGAGTGCTTGATGCAGGGAATGATTGGCATCTCACTCCATTGATTCAGAATGCTGAACAATTGCTTTATTAAAGTTATATTATATTATATTAATCATATTATACTATACTATATTAAAGACATACTACTCTAAAGAATACTAAAAGAATGCTAAAAAAATACTAAAGAAAAACCCGTGACTGTCTGAGACAGCCAGGACACATCTTTGACCCAACAGGCCAATTAATATAAACCATCCCCAGAATCCAATTAAGAACTCCCTTCAATCTTCCTAACATATTCCACATGTGCAAAAACATCAGGAGCAGAGAATAGAGATAAGAATTGTTTTCTCTTTCTCTGAGGTTCCTTGTTGCAATTCCCAGGAAATATCCTTGGGAAGTTGTGCCTGCCTGCTCTCCATGAAGAGAGCTGTGGCTACAGAGCTGCACCCAAGGTGGACCCCAAGTCATGAATTTTCACACTTTTATGAGTTCTGGTCCATTTCCACGCTGGGGTTCAGTGTCCAATTCCAGCTCCAGGTTCTGCAGTCCCACCCTCCTAGTTTGCTCTCCTCCATTCCCTGTTGTTTGCACTTTTTGGGCTGAAGCTGCAGTGGTGTCCTTGGTTCTGGGGCTGGAGAAGGATTGTTCTGTGTGCCTGAGCTGTGAGGAGAGCAGCTGACGCTTTATATGGAGTTCAGAGTTATTTACAATGCATTACAGAGTCTGGAGATTATGAAAGCTCAAACTGAAGGCATCAGTGATATTCAGTATTTCTGTGAAAATCACAGAACCCAGTGAGGTTAATATATAACAGTCCCCAGTGAGTCAGAATAATAATTTTCTTAGAAATATTGAGGTCTGTTGGGCTGATTAGGTTACTTTTCCTGACATCCTGTCATCCTTTCATCCCCCTAAGATGACGCACTGCTTTGCAGAGTGGGTGCCACTGATTTCACTGTTTCCTCCCTGCCTTCAGGTTTGAATTTGGCTGTGATGGTGTTAAGGACTGTCCCAGACTGCTCTGATTCCCTGGATGTTGTTAGAAACCTTGTTGCAGTCCCAGGCTGATAAAGCCCAAAAGGCACAGTTAGTTTTGGGGGCAGAACCTGCTGGTTCTGGGTCCCCCTTCCAGCTGCACAGGGACCTGTACTGGCCTGAAGTGCCCCAGTCCTTGTCCCCAGATGTGTGCTGTCCCCAGATTCTGTGCCCCTTCCACAGCCTGTGGGAACAGGAATTTGCTGTTCTGGTAGATCTCCAACCAAGGGTTTCCTTAACTCGAGGAAGCATTTAATGAGTGTTTGGTTTTGTCAGATTGTAGCACTGAATAAAACAAAGGAAAAAATGCGACCTTATCAAGGCAACCAGGAAGATGAAGATCCAGATATTAAAAAAATTAAGAAGGTAAACATGAAGTCTTTTGTGCTTAAAGGGAGGAGGGTGGGATGAGGGGTGTGCCTCTGTTTTTTGGCCTAGTTTTTTGGTTTGGTTTTTTTTTTTTTTAAAGTACAGTAGAATAGCAAGTTTTTCTTTATCCTGCCCCTACTTAAATCTCTTCAATTACATGTATTTTTGTGCCACTCTTAATCTTGTGATGTATTTGCATGAAATCCTTCATGGGATGTGTCTGGTTTCTGTCTTTTTCTGGGGTGTGTAGACTGAGCCAGGGTCAGCCCTGGGCTGGTAACTTGGTGTGAGTTTCCCTTTTTGTGTAGATTAACCATTGTTGCACAAGCTGGGAATGCCCATTTTAGTAGCAAGAGAACTTTGAATCTGTATGTAATTCACTGTATTCTGTGTCTTGGTCATTTTGACAGCTGGGCCCCTTTTATTTAAAGTTATTTTTTCAGAGTAAATTGATACCAGTGAAATTTTGCACTTCTCATTCAAGATGAATGATCTCCACATCAAGATCAGGGCACAGACATAATGAAATTTCCTGTGACCAGATATAGACCTCTTCTGTAATCTTTAGTCCATTTGCAACTTCCGATACTGTGCTTAGTTAGATTTTTCCATGACATAGAGGTGCTTTTTAAGAATGCCAAAAATCTGTGGTTTTGAATACCATGTTTGTTGCTTTGGTGTCTGATACCAAGCAATGTATTGATACCTAACTTTAAATACCCATGTCAAGTGTTATCTGTTCAAAATGGAAAGCAAAGTGAACTTAAAAAAAAATTTAAGAATTCTGCCAATAATGATATTGAGTCTGTGCTGGACTGTGTTACCTGAAGGTATTCCAGGATCCTTTTAGGGTATAAGAGAAATGTTCTAGGGGGAGGAAGAAGGAACTGCACTCGTGCTGATGGGAGGGGGACAACACTCCAGCTTGCAGTGAAAGATTCCTTTCTGCATACCCCATGTTTTACAGTCTGTTTCCTGGCAACAATTATGACCCTTAACAGACAGAAATGTAAAATATATTTAATTACAGAGCAATTATATATCAATAAAGGAACATTTTTATTTTTGCACAAAGACTTTTGAGAATTGTTTCTACAGTGAAGAGCTTATGATAAGTCATGTAATATGTTTTCTTAACTTTCTTTTCCTGCGTGATCCCTTTTTAGGTTCAGAGCTTTATGCGGGGCTGGCTGTGCAGAAGAAAATGGAAAACCATTGTCCAAGACTATATCTGTTCCCCTCATGCAGAGAGCATGAGGAAGAGGAACCAGATAGTTTTCAACATGGTGGAGGCTGAGTCTGAGTACGTGCACCAGCTTTATGTCCTGGTGAACTGCTTCCTGCGGCCCCTGAGGATGGCAGCGAGCTCCAAGAAGCCGCCCATCAGCCACGACGACGTCAGCAGCATTTTCCTCAACAGGTATAGGGGACCTTTTCAGGATTTTTTTTGTTGGTTTGGGAGGTTTCTGTGGCTTTTTATTTGGGGTTTTTTTGGTGGGTGTCCCTGAGTGCTTGTTCCCATTCTGGTTCAGCTGAAGTCAAAGTCCTGGCTCCTGTTTTGCTCTGGTGCAGGTGGTGTCACTGAGCCAGACACTCTTCCAGGGCTGAAAGGCAAAGGTGCTGCAGGTGATGCTGTTGGAAACCAGCATGACCTCTTTACCTCCCTGCATTCTGTGTCTTCTTCTGCTAAAGGCAAAAAAGGACAGATGGTGCCTCTTAGGGCAGTTCCCATAATTTTCTGTCACCTTTCCTGTTTCTTTTTTTCTCTTAAGAGAGCAAAACTGGACTTAGTGGCCTCATATGATCCCAACAAGACCCTGAGGATGAGAATGTCAAAGCTTCTATTTTCTGTTGTCCTGCCTAAGGAATCTCCTTCTCTCTCACTTGTCTTTTCATATCCCGCAAAAAAGGAATTCTTTCATTAGGCATCCAAGTACTGCTGTAATGAGCATGTTCAAGTAGCCCAGGAGGCATCTAACATTAGATACTGGACTGGGGTTGCATCCAAGCCTGCCCCAAACTTCTGAGAAATAGAATATGTTCCTTTAGTCATGAGGCAGGTTTCCTTTCCCTTGCTAGAATATGAATACGATGTTGGAATATTTATATTGAATACTATGAGTTTTTTAGAAGCACTGAGCTAGTATTTTTAAACAATGCAATAAAAGGAAGCACTTATTTCCATAACAATAACTGTCTTCTGTTTTTTTTCTAGCAAAGTGCAAAAGAGGAAGAGATGTTTCTCTGTGAATAATTAATCAGAAAATAAAACCAGAATTGTCTTTTTGTTTGTTTAAATACTTGTTTTTCAGTGAAACAATCATGTTTCTTCATGAGATATTTCACCAGGGCTTAAAAGCAAGAATAGCTAACTGGCCTACCTTAATTCTAGGTAAGTTACTTTATTTTCTACAGGGGTATAACTTTCATATTTATTTTTGAATAATCAGTAGGGATTTTTTTGTTTCTAAAGACATGACTTCTTAAAAGTCCATTTTAAAAGGAATATGCATATGGAATGCATATATAACCCTGCATTCCTTTTTAAAAGGAATATGCAGGGTTAAAACCACAAGATCAGGTGTAGTGGGAATCCCATGTGGGCAGAAATGGTCTGTATATGAGAATTCCTCTGCCCTAAGCATTGATTAGATTTGTAATTTTTGTAATGCTATCTGACCATTAGGTAATCAGAACAACCACCACTGGGCAGGTGAAAAACCTACGTTTAATGTTCCTAAATTGTTAGTGTATTGGAAACAGAACTGATTATAGTAATTCACTTCCAGAGAAAACAATGGAAAACACATTTTCTTTAAAAATGTATTTCAATACGTGAGTAGCTGGGGGGAAAAAAAAGGCATTTTTCTGCTTTTTTTTAGCTGACCTATTTGACATTCTGCTGCCAATGCTGAACATATATCAAGAATTTGTTCGGAATCATCAATATAGCCTACAAGTGCTGGCAAACTGTAAGCAAAACAGAGATTTTGACAAACTCTTGAAGCAATATGAAGCCAACCCAGCATGTGAGGGCAGAATGCTGGAAACTTTCCTTACCTACCCCATGTTTCAGGTACTCCCTGTGTATTTAATTTGTGTAGATTTAATTTTACTGTTTGGTATATTCATTTTATGTTACTGACATTGCAATTGATTGAGGGCTCATCTTGCTTAACTAGAAATACTCTCCTGAAAATTAGTTTGGTGTAATTTATTTTGTTGTTACCCCAAGACTCTGCTTGTGGAGATCTCCTCCCCAGCTATGCTGGCTCATCTTTGTTCAGTATCAGGAATGTTGAGGGGGACTGTGGGATGAGGATGGCACCAAAGAAAATTGGCAAGGAGCAGGTCCTTGACTTGGGACCCCTGGTTATAAAGCCCAGAGAGAGATGATATTCAGGAACTTAGAACAGCCATAAGAACCTTACTGGGAATTCATTTGGTATCTTTCTCCCTGCTTTGCTTTCAAGTGACTTGGTCTTTAGAAAATGAAAAATAAGCTGCAGAAGTTTTGAAAACTGTGCTTACCCTCCTGATTTTTACTGTGATCTCCCTGGAGTAGGCATTTTCTGCTGTTTTAAGATGTCTGTGAAGCACTGGCATGAGAATTTTATGTCTTTTTCATTTAACCTGACATTTTGCTCATCCGAGGAATAGTGAAACCCCTCAGTTTCTGCAGTTATTGGAAAGCCAGATAGAGAAAAAAAAATTAAAAAGGGGCATAAGTGTCACTTGTATTAGGAGTAGTTATTCATATTAGCTGAAGGAGCCATTAGCACCTGCAACAATGCTTTTTTAATTTTTGAAGTGGTATATTTTAAAGTTTTCGTGGGTATGGGGTTTCTTTGGGTTGAGTTGAAGCCAGGTCAAGGGAGGGAAGGAGATGGTCCTGTTCCTGTGTGATGAGGAATGTTATTATGTCATTGCTGGTGACTTTCCACATGAGCATAATTTTGCCTCTCCTCCTACATAAATCTTGTTGTGTCAGAGCAGTTATGCCGCACCATCACTTGGTTAAAAGCTCTGAAGGGTCCTTCTTTCTGTGGTTAAAAGCTCTGAAGGGTCCTTGTTACCCTGTAGCCTTTAATAGTCAAATACTGGACATTCTTCCATCTCCTTTTGTGCAATGTGAATGTTAGCTGAATGCAGACAGGTCACCCGGTAATTTCAATGTCAAAAGAAATTTACATGCTCATCATCTATTAAAATTGAGGGAAGGTATATATGGACTTACTGATATTATATCTTATTGGTTTCAAGATTCCCAGATATATTATAACACTTCATGAACTTTTGGCTCACACACCACACGAACACGTTGAGAGAAAAAGCCTTGAATTTGCTAAATCTAAACTGGAGGAACTTTCAAGGTAAGATTTTTCTACCTTATCTTTGATAATTTAGAATTAAAGGTTTTGAAAAGAAAAACCAGTTTTTCTTTATTTTTGTTTGTTTTTGCTCTTTTAAAAAGATATGCATTTTAGGAAAAGTATCAAACCCAAAACAGAAGATAATGAAAAATAACAAAAATATCTCAGTGTAATATTTTGTCTGTTCTATTTTTTTTTTCTTTTTGGCAAATTTAAATCTCCTTGTATTTTGGTTAGGGAGAATTGAAATCACTATAGAAACCACCTATTCCTGGGTTATGGACAGAGCAGTTTTCTTTACAAAAAGAAATTTTATTTTTCTTAATTTAAAGAGAGAAGGGCATTTTAAATAATTATGGTCCTGGAAAGTACCTAGTTCTCTATCTGTGTTATAATTTTAGTGTACTAGTGTGAAAAGTGAATTTCATATTTGCTTCAAATAATGCCAGATAAGCAGGAACTCCAGATATATTCTGAGAACTTTTGCTCCCGGTAGAAACCTGCACAATGAAGCTCTTCCCTGAACCCCCAGACTTTTCTCAGATATTTCTCTCATCAGCCCAGTGGGAAATGTGTTTCTCCTCTCTGGGAAATGCAGTTTTCTGCTGTGAAAAAAGAGCCCATGAGTGAACTCCAGGATATAAATATTCAGTGTCTGGAGTATTCACTAAAGATGTGCTTGGAGAATATTTAGTTGTAAAAGATCTGGACAAGCAGATAAATCAGCTTTGGACTGGCTTCATCATATAAGTCAGAGTTCACTGCTGATCCAACTGATTCACCACTGAACACTCAGAACTGGAGTCTGAGACAGACTGATCCTCTCTGCTCATAAAGTCAGTAGAGACCATAAATGTAAAATGAACTGACTCATTTCCATCCCTTTAAGGTAGTTCTGAGGGAGTAGGAGATTCCAGGAACTGCAGTCCACTTTAGGAAAATATAATTGCAAGAGCATATAAGCTCCTGGGTTGGTTTCAGCACTAAAAAAATATGTATTTTTCTCTGTAAGGGGAGAATGCCTATAGAAAGAACAAAAAGGAAAAAGGAAATGTTGAAATATCAAAGCTGTGGTTGTTGAGGGAAAGGAAATGTCAAGGAAAGGCAATGTCAAGGAAATGTCAAGGAAATGTCAAGGAAAGGAAATTTAAGGGAGAGGAGAAAGGGGAGAGGAGAAAGGGGAAAGGAGAAAGAAAGGAGAAAGGGGAAAGGAGAAAGAAAGGAGAAAGGGGAAAGGAGAAAGAAAGGAGAAAGGGGAAAGGAGAAAGAAAGGAGAAAGGGGAAAGGAGAAAGAAAGGAGAAAGGGGAAAGGAGAAAGAAAGGAGAAAGGGGAAAGGAGAAAGAAAGGAGAAAGGGGAAAGGAGAAAGAAAGGAGAAAGGGGAAAGGAGAAAGAAAGGAGAAAGGGGAAAGGAGAAAGAAAGGAGAAAGGGGAAAGGAGAAAGAAAGGAGAAAGGGGAAAGGAGAAAGAAAGGAGAAAGGGGAAAGGAGAAAGAAAGGAGAAAGGGGAAAGGAGAAAGAAAGGAGAAAGGGGAAAGGAGAAAGAAAGGAGAAAGGGGAAAGGAGAAAGAAAGGAGAAAGGGGAAAGGAGAAAGAAAGGAGAAAGGGGAAAGGAGAAAGAAAGGAGAAAGGGGAAAGGAGAAAGAAAGGAGAAAGGGGAAAGGAGAAAGAAAGGAGAAAGGGGAAAGGAGAAAGAAAGGAGAAAGGGGAAAGGAGAAAGAAAGGAGAAAGGGGAAAGGAGAAAGAAAGGAGAAAGGGGAAAGGAGAAAGAAAGGAGAAAGGGGAAAGGAGAAAGAAAGGAGAAAGGGGAAAGGAGAAAGAAAGGAGAAAGGGGAAAGGAGAAAGAAAGGAGAAAGGGGAAAGGAGAAAGAAAGGAGAAAGGGGAAAGGAGAAAGAAAGGAGAAAGGGGAAAGGAGAAAGAAAGGAGAAAGGGGAAAGGAGAAAGAAAGGAGAAAGGGGAAAGGAGAAAGAAAGGAGAAAGGGGAAAGGAGAAAGAAAGGAGAAAGGGGAAAGGAGAAAGAAAGGAGAAAGGGGAAAGGAGAAAGAAAGGAGAAAGGGGAAAGGAGAAAGAAAGGAGAAAGGGGAAAGGAGAAAGAAAGGAGAAAGGGGAAAGGAGAAAGAAAGGAGAAAGGGGAAAGGAGAAAGAAAGGAGAAAGGGGAAAGGAGAAAGAAAGGAGAAAGGGGAAAGGAGAAAGAAAGGAGAAAGGGGAAAGGAGAAAGAAAGGAGAAAGGGGAAAGGAGAAAGAAAGGAGAAAGGGGAAAGGAGAAAGAAAGGAGAAAGGGGAAAGGAGAAAGAAAGGAGAAAGGGGAAAGGAGAAAGAAAGGAGAAAGGGGAAAGGAGAAAGAAAGGGGAAAGGGGAAAGGAGAAAGAAAGGGGAAAGGGGAAAGGAGAAAGAAAGGGGAAAGGAGAAAGAAAGGGGAAAGGGGAAAGGAGAAAGAAAGGGGAAAGGGGAAAGGAGAAAGAAAGGGGAAAGGGGAAAGGAGAAAGAAAGGGGAAAGGGGAAAGGAGAAAGAAAGGGGAAAGGGGAAAGGAGAAAGAAAGGGGAAAGGGGAAAGGAGAAAGAAAGGGGAAAGGGGAAAGGAGAAAGAAAGGGGAAAGGGGAAAGGAGAAGAAAGGAGAAAGAAAGGAGAAAGGGGAAAGGGGAAAGGAGGGAGAAAGGGGGAAAGGAGGGAGAAAGGGGAAAGGAGAGAGAAAGGGGAAAGGAGAGAGAAAGGGGAAAGGAGAGAGAAAGGGGACAGAAGGGAGAAAGGGGAAAGGAGAGAGAAAGGGGAAAGAAGGGAGAAAGGGGAAAGGAGAGAGAAAGGGGAAAGGAGAGAGAAAGGGGAAAGAAGGGAGAAAGGGGAAAGGAGAGAGAAAGGGGAAAGAAGGGAGAAAGGGGAAAGGAGAAAGAAAGGGGAAAGGAGAGAGAAAGGGGAAAGAAAGAGGAAAGGAGAAAGAAAGGGGAAAGAAAGAATAAAGGGGAAAGAAAGGGGAAAGGGGAAAGAAAGGGGAAAGGGGAAAGAAAGGGGAAAGAAAGGGGAAAGGAGAAAGAAAGGGGAAAGGAGAAAGAAAGGGGGAAAGAAAGAGGAAAGGAGAAAGAAAGGGGAAAGGAGAAAGAAAGGGGAAAGGAGAAAGAAAGGGGAAAGAAAGAGGAAAGGAGAAAGAAAGGGGGGAAAGAAAGAGGAAAGGAGAAAGAAAGGGGAAAGGAGAAAGAAAGGGGAAAGGAGAAAGAAAGGAGAAAGAAAGGGGAAAGGAGAAAGAAAGGAGAAAGAAAGGGGAAAGGAGATAGAAAGGAGAAAGGAGAAAGGAGAGGGGAAAGGAGAGGAGAAAGGGAAAGGAAAGGAGAAAGGAAAGGATACATTGAATTTTGAAGATGAAACAGAGACAGTGGGGGACACTAAAGCCATGGAAAGGAAATCTTAAATGTGCCCTACACAATTCTAGGTAACACTTTCCTGTTTGTGCACTAAGGATCAAGTTCTCTTCTATCAGCTGTGAAGTGTTTGTAGCTCGGTGGCATCTGTCAGATGTGCTCAGGAACAGTCACTAATCTGCCAAATTGGCTCCACCGCTAAAAAATCAAAATGATCACAACAATGGTTTGAAAAGGAGAGGAAAAAAGGCAGGAGACCTGCTCTGGAGTGATGGGGCACTGGGTGGGTAGATCTGTAGCAGGTGGTGAAGGGCATGCACTGTGTCTTCAGAGACACAGCAGGTGTGAGGCACATTTTGGGGAGATAAAGTGCATTTTTGTCTCCAACAGAGTGATGCACGACGAGGTGAGTGACACAGAGAACATCCGGAAGAACCTGGCCATAGAGAGGACCATAGTGGAGGGCTGTGACATATTGCTAGATACCAGCCAAACCTTTATACGCCAAGGTAAGACATTCCTCTGCAAAGCTGCCCAAAAATCATGAAAAAAAACTGCACTGAAGGCAGCAGGGCTCACACTGCCATCGTCAGGCTGGGCACTGCACTGGGCACTTGTCAGCATCCTGAGCCTGCCCCCTGTCCCTGCAGGGTGAGTCACAAAGTGCCCTGAAAACAGGTGATTTTGGGCTGTGCTTGGACCTCAGTTCTGTGCTGTCTTCTGCAAGAAAATCAGCAGCACGTGAGTGGCAAAGCCCCCATGGGACTGTGATTCACATCCTGCCTGGACTGTGGTCCCAAGGGGATGGAGCAGGGGAAGAGCAGCACTCTTCTCTCAGTCTATTGATGGCAGCTTTGGAAACTCTTTCTGTTGAAAATCAGTTACAGCAGAGGTGGAATTTGTTGTTAAGTTCCCAAAAACTCTGCTAGAATAACATTTCCATTTTAAATAAGGGACAGGTTTTTTTTTTTGCCAGGAACTGCAAATTGGTTACAATTCTTACTTGGTGGTGTTTACTTTAGCTGCTTGTTTTTCTCCCATTTATATAATATTTTACTTTTGGATCTCTTGAAGCTGGTTACTGGGTTTATACAAAATAAATACAGATCTTGGTGCAGGATTTGGACAGTTTTTCCTCCTTTGTGCTGAAAAGCATTAAAATTATTCAGGAAAGGTTAGGAATATAATGTAGGTGCATCCCTTCCTGAAACCTTTTCCAGATAACCTCAGCAGAACATCTGATATTTGATGGGGGCCATACTGTACCTGGTAATTAATAGGCTTTCTGTACATTTTGTAACACATTTTATGCTGTTTCTGTAGTTATGTGGCCAAACTATGACTTTTCTGTAATAACTTCCAATATTATTTTTACAATACACTAACAATATTGTTTTTACAAACCCTGTTAAATGACTTGATTGTTATTACATGTATACATTTTTATCTCTGAGGTGTTTTAAGAGTTTTGAATATGGCATTCAGAAAAAAAAATGTTGTTTTGCACCCACAGCCAAAAAATTATAATGCTGTGATTATCCTAGGTTGACTTGTACTATGAAATCTAATTAAAGTTTAGAGTTTTTTAAAGATTCTTACAATATGTAATACAAATATGTATTTTTATTTGTTGAGGTTTTCCCATCAAAACTGACTGACAATGTGTTGTCTGTGTACCCACTGCTTCATCAGTAAAATTTAGAATTTTTTTTTCTGAGGGAATCAATCTGTACAAATTACTGTTGGCTTGTAAGTCCCAGGCCAAACCCTGTAAGTAAATTAAATTCAGATTTATTTCTAGGCACACAGTCAGAGGGCAGTGGACAGGAGGCTGTGTTACAGAAGGTTGTATCAGCTTATCTGGTGGAACATCCACTGCCTGTGATTCTGTGCAAGGGCAGAAATCTGAATAAAGCAAATGAAGTAATGGAGCCCATTTTCCTTTTACATCTGACAGTGGGGTCACTTTGGCAGTGGTGTCCATCTCCTCTGGTTTCAGTTAGGCTTCCATTTGTTGTGCTGATTAGTGTAGATGGGCACAGGAACCTCATTTCCAGCTTAAAACAGGAGAGAGGAGCCACTACCTTTGTTCAGGCTTTTTTTGTGGATGTTAACGACAACTTTTTTATGTGTTGCAGACTTTTTATTTTAAAGAAGAGATTGATTCTGTTGAGTTGTGCATGTTGAGACCACAGGAACTGTCCCTGGCAATGTTTTGCAATGCAGATTGTGAACTCTCATTCGAGTTTCTTGGGGTCTGATTTTCCCTGCCTTTTACTTAGGTACAGATTTTATAGTCAGGCACACAAACAAGTGAGGAATGTTTCCTTTGTGAGGCTGAAGTACACTCAGGGAGTCTCAAATCTGTTGACATCCAAACAACTGAGCACCCTGAGCCCCTCTGGTGCTTTCAAACACTCTGATGCTTCTGCCATCAGCTGCTGTGACTTTAACTCTGCTGATAAAGATATCGTAACCACAAAATCAGGCAGTAGCTGGAGCTGGAAGGGACTTTGGAAATTACCCATTCCAGTCTCAAGGCAGCACCAGCTGGAGGAGGTTGGTTTCTGCCATGCCCCCTCAGTATTTTGTTCTTTCCAAGGACAGAGACTCCGCAGCCTCCCTGAATGAGCAACCTCTTCCAGTGTTTAACCCTCTGAGCAGTAAAAACAAAAAAGAGCAAAAAAGCCTGAAAACCTCCAGCATGGAGGCTGAGCTGGTAAATCAGACAGTTCAATGTAGACTTCTGAATGCTTGGGTTTGTTTATAAATCCAGCCTTTTATATTCTTTGGATTGAGCAAAGGCTGAGAGGGTGACTGTTGAAGCATTGAAGTGCTGAAAGTGCTTAAGGCCTGAGGCTGGATAAAAATTCATGGGATTACACTATTGTCCAAACTATACTGTTAATGAATGTTCTAAAATTAGCTTCACTTGCTCATTGCATCTGTACATTGGCCAATTGTGACCATTTTTTTCCCTTAAGAGGAAATCTGTGGTAGAGCCAATGCCCAGTTTTGTTAACCACTAAAACCTGATGAGAATGCCCAAGGTCCTTGCTTGGGGTCAGCCATGCAGTATGTGTAGGAGATGTGTCCCTCTCTGCAGGTTTGAAAGAGAGAAAATGCAGCCTCTCTTTTCTGCTTTTAGAGAGAGGTTTGCTCTGTTTTACCTTATTAAACAGTATTTCAGCTCTGTGCAAGAATATTGTTTAACCTCAGCCCATTATGACAGAACAGAGCATGTTAGTCCTGAAAGCATTCCAGTGAAAATAAAGATAAATAAATAAACAAAAATTACCAGCGACCTTACTTCTGTAAGCATCTAATATTTATAGGTACTATTACTCTACTAAGCAAAGCAGAAACAAAAAGTACAGATTGAATATTGCTTCCCTAAATGTGTAGATGGAATTTTAGGACTAAAAGTACCCAGGGAGTTTTGTCTGGGAGTTGTTTTGAACATGCTGGCCTTGCAGCGTGGCTTGAGGGACAGTCAGTGTAACATGGAAAAGTCATGGTTCCAACACATGGAAATGATCTCCTCCCTCTCTCCTACAGCTGAGGCAGGTTGGCTGCTTGTCCAGGGGAAATGCACAACAGCCAGTAAATATTTATGGGTTTGGGTCAGAATGTAAGTGAATCTGAAATGTTCCAAACTCCTCTGCAAAATTCTAGAGCATAACTTCACTGTTGTGTTTCGGTGACACAAGTTGTGTTATACATTTAGTCTAAATGTGAAATGTCTGTCAGAGAACACTGTTATCTGGCAAAATTACTGCAAATCCATGTCAGTAGAAGTTTATATATTAATAATTTAAGGCTACTTAAATATATATAGAGAGAGCTAAGTGTAGGAAAAAAATGTAAATAGCACCTTTCTCAGTTACTGCAATTTCTCTGTTTGTTAATTTAAGCTTGCATATGTGAACTTTGAGAAAGATAATCCTTTTGACAACACAGAGTAAGAATTGCTAATCTAATATTTCATGGATAATTCTGTCAGGCTGGCATTGTGTCAGGGTGCCACCACTACTTTGAGCTTTGATGCAGTTGTGCCACTTCGTATCTGGAAGGGGCAGGTCAAAGCCTCCTCCTGCTGCTTGTTCTGCTGTGCAGCTCCCTTTGCCTCATCAGTTTCTTGGCGCTTTTGTGACCTTGCTCCTATCAGGGAGCCAAGTCAGCTGCCTCTTCCCAGCATTATTTTCGTGCTGGTTTAGCTGTGTGAGTACCTGATGCTGGAACAAGGCACGAGCCAGTGTAAAGGTAATAGTGAGGAGAGATGTGTGGGAAGGAGACTAGGAGGTCTCTTGGCTGCCCCGTCTGCTAACAGCAAGTTGTATGGTAGAAATATTTCTGTTTAATCTACAGAGGAGTTGCACTTCACCACCAAATTTAACTCCTGCTCCAAATTTGGAGGTGATACCCATGGTGGGATCAATCTGGAAAAGTTGGTCACAGACTGAGATGTGAAACAGCAAGAGAAGCAGAGCTGTCCCCAGCCTGGAACTCTGCAAAGCAGAATTCAGGCTTATGTAAGCAGGTTCAATTTAGTTCGGGAGTGTTTTACTGGCAACACATTTCAGATGAGCTGTGGAGCACTGACAATTATGCAGTACAAGATGAGAAGGAGAAATGTGCTTCATTTCCATCTCTCTTGCACACGGGCACACACACAAACTCTTTTCCATCAAAAAGAACTTTTCCATGTTCTTTCCATTCTCCGTCTCTTTGGTTTGGAAGTGTCTTTTGCAAGTGTAGTGGCTGTCAGAGTGGTGTTTGCTGCTCAGCCACATTTTCTGATCAATGTCCTCTTAGTGTGTTTAATTGCCTAATCAGCCCTGGATCTAATCCTGCCACGTACACAAGTGTTAGTCTAGACTGTACTTGAGTCTATTTATGATACTAAAAAAAAGGGAATCTGCAGTAAAAAAGGGATTGACTTGTTCTTGAAAGAGACACTGATACACATTGATACTGGAATGAAGAGTTGTGTAAATTAATGTAAGACTGTTCAATGAATTAACAGTTTGAGCATTACCTACTAAATATTACTGTAATACAGTGGATTTTGCACCTTCATTACCAGGTTCCCTTATCCAGGTCCCCTCAGTTGAGAGGGGAAAGCTGAGTAAAGTTCGCCTGGGCTCATTGTCTTTGAAGAAAGAAGGAGAAAGACAATGCTTCTTGTTTACAAAACACTTCTTAATTTGTACAAGAAGCTCAGGAGGAAAACTGCATCTTCTTAAGGTATGGACTTCATATTAGGATTTAATTTTCAAAATGAAAACACATCTTTGGTGAACTGCCAACATTTTGCTGCTTTATGTGTTTCATGTGAGTGTTGCATTAGTGGTTAAAAACAAAAGCGGGGTGGTGCACAATGTTTAACTGCTTTGTCTTTTCATTGCAAATAATAGAATTCAAACAATTTCCTTTTATTAGACCCAGTTAATTCTAGTAAACTGAGGATTAGAAACAAGGCATTGATGTATCTATTTGTTTGAAGTGGTGAATAAATTCAGTGTATGTAGCACTGAATTTAAGTCAGTTTTCAGTGCATAAATCAGTCAGTACAACCCTGCAGAATTGCCAAAGAACATTTTCCAGAGCTCTAATAAAATTAATTTTCAAAGTCAATTCAGTTTTCCTGAACAGCATGTTCTCTTAAAATAAAATGTCATCTAAGAACAATCTAGTTATATTTGTTGAGAATCTGTCTTTCATAGTGCTGGCTTGTGAGTAAAGAGATGTTGGTAGTTCATGGAGTGGGTTATGTTGAATGGAATTTTAATTTGGCATACCAAGAGGTTATTAAGGGTCATGTACTTTCCCACTTTGCACCTCTTACATAGTTCAAGTACTTATGCAAAATAAATAGAGTCTAATGGAACCTTTAAGAAAAATTGTATGTATTTCACTTAAATTCAGAAGATGAAATTCTAGTTAACTTTTTTGGAACTTGTGAGCAAGTCTGTGTGTGCCATAAATTAAAGCATGGTAAAAGTGAAAGAAATTTTGTGCATTGTACTATTAATCTGCTGGATTCGGAAAAACATTATATTTAATCAGTTTGAGTTTAGTTATTTAAGGAAAAAATGTGCATCATGAAATTCATGTATCTTCCTTAGAGCTCTGAGTAATGTAAAATGTTAGAGTCAGGCCTGTCAACATTTAAAAAAACCTGTGACAAATGGGAATAAATAACATTTGTGTGAAATGTGCTTTGTTTCCACAGACAGGAGGTGTTCTGTCTCTGATAGAATGCACTCTAGTCGAGGAGACAGAAGCGAGTGATGATGATTGTAAGTTAAATTCAGCTGTCAGTAGTAAGTACAGTTTCTAGTTTCCTAAAATTAGTACCCTTTTTTATTTTTTCATAAGAGCAAATAGATATGTTGTTGTGAAACCAGTAGAATACAGTGTAAAACTGATCCATTAAAATTGCTGTTCTTATAATGGACATGCTGGCTTGGATGGGCCATTGTTTTGTTGTATTTGTTCCTGCTGTTAACACCCTTTACTGGATTTTCAAGAGGGCTGGCTGGAGAAATGTGGCTTTTGTATTCAAGTTCACCCAGAGCATCTCAGAAAAAAAAAAAAATTTTGAAAATTAAAAAAAAAAAGAAAAAAAGCCTTAAATAAGCTGCATAATAATTTGCTTTCTGAAATACATGGGAGTTGACTGATTTGGAAGAATTAATGGGAACTTTTTTGCCTTGGGATCCCCACAAATCAGGAGTGCAAGCTTATTCAAATGTCATTACAAAATACAGTCTCAGGCTGATTTTATTGTTACTCCTTTTGTCTTCCATCCTGCAGTTTGTCAAGTTTTGCACTTGAATTGTGAAAGTAGTTTTATTGAGTGATACTTGTAGTATGGTGAGGATGTGTTAGCATACAGGTGTTATAAGAAACTTTATCTTGAAGAGCAAATCCCAATATGTGAACAACAAAATGAGTTGTTGGATACCTAATTGGATTTGCTCTTTATCAGCAAGATGTTTTATAGCTTTTCCATTGTAAATGAAATAACTGTTTTCTTTGTCTTATGCTGTGACATTTCATGGTGTGACTTTGTTTTCTCCCCCTCTGGCTGTAAAGCAAAAGGCTCTGGGCAAGTGTTTGGACACCTGGATTTCAAGCTGATAGTGGAGCCCACGGATGCTCCTCCTTTCACTGTTGTCCTTTTGGCCCCATCACGGCAGGAGAAAGCTGCGTGGACAAGTGACATCAGCCAGGTACCTCAGTGCTTTTCTGCCTTGGTGTGAACAGCCAGGTGTCTGCTGAGGAAGGCAGGAGCCTCCCCTGAAATGGAAAACGCAAACCCCCTCCTTCTGAATTATTACAGCAATTAAGGGGCTCTCAGGCAAAGATATGGGAATAACAGTTCTTCACTAGGAAAATTAAAAATACAAATGCAGTAGTACAAACAAAAACCACCACTGCCAGAGTGAGAGCAGGCCCTGTCCCCTGTGTGTCAGGGGGTGGCACAGCCCCATCCCATGGGGGCTCAGCCCTCCTGCAGTGCCAGCTGTGGCTCTGCTGGAGCAGGGATCCTGCACAAGGGGGGAGTTTTCCTCTGCAGCTCCAGGGCTGCTGCAGATGGGCCTGGGCTCCCTCTGGCCATGCAGGGCAGCAGAAGCTGCTCCTCTGGCAATGCACTGGGCAAAGGCTGCTGGGCTGTCCCAAAGCTCAGATTGGATCCAGGTAGGAATGCTTGGCTCCTCCCCTGGGCAATGCAGCATCTCCCCATGGGATGGTGGGATTGGATCAGCCCTGCAGGGACACTCAGTGGCCATGGACAGAAGAGAATTAATAATGAATGGCCATGAACAGCAGAGATCTCCTGGAGGGAGGGTTGGCTGTGGGAGAGATAAAGAAAAAACTGCCCCATGAACAGCAGAGAACTGCCCCAGCTCTGACACATGGGAATGGAATACACACCCCCATTTCCAACCAAAGACATTTTCTCACCTGTTTTTGGTGAGGTCTTCCTTCACTCTGAGCTTCTGAAAACCAGCCTAACACAGGGGTGATGAACACCTTTGATTTGCTGTGAAAAAACATTAGTGCTGCCTGTTCTCCTCAAAATTCTGATGTTGCATTTGGGTCACCAGGGAAGTCTGTTTCTCAAAAACAGAGATGGGGTATAACTTTCAGAATTGTCCATAGACAAACATAGTGGTAAGCATTTTTATGTCTAAGGAGAGCCCATCTAGACACATATTTTGATTTAAGAAGAAGGTTTATTCATGTACTGGTTTATTCATGATTTTCATACAGATCAAACCCACCTGAGTCCTAGCGTGAAAGTGATACCATATCACATCAATAATGAAGTAAGACAATGGGATAAATTCTTTTTTCCACCAAAAATGAATGCTAACAAACCATTATAAATAATTGCTGAGCATTCTGACGGTGTGCAGGAACTGTCAATGTTGTGAATGAACAAAAAGGGTATTTAAATTTTTTTAAATTCCAGGGATAAGTTGTTGGGGCTTTTTAAAATTGCTTTTTACTTTAAACATAATAGACAAACTTCATCATAATCTATTTGTGGAAAGAAGTTGAATGCAAAAAAAAAAAAAAACACCACAAAAAAGACCCCAAACCCCTGAACTTCCAGCTAACCAGAGCTAAATGAAGGCTATTTATGTTTTGTTTATGCACACAAACAAGAACATACATCTCTCATAGTTCTGAATTCAGGTCCCATCCTCTATTAATTTAGAGAGAAATAGCTGATTAGAGGATTATCAGCATGGAATGTCATGCATTTCCAAAGTTGCTATCATTGCTGGCAACATCTCCAGATGAATCATCATCATAATGAGGAGAAATTGCTTAAAAATAAGAATTCTGACTTATTTTGTGCCAGATTAACATTTTTGAAAGAACAAAAATAGGCAAATAAAAATCTCAAAATACAGTATGAGCTACAACTTGCTGTCTTACAGACAGACCTGGTTGGAGAATTTTACAAAACAGATTTTCAGGGAATTATTGTTGTTCCATTGATATGTAAAATTACTGGAGTAATTTCCTGGCACAGATAGACCATTTAAGAATGCTACTAAGTCCATTCTTAGCCTAAATTATAATAATTTAAAAAATTGTCTGTGCTAGGGTGCTAAGGGCTTCTTTGAAATATTTCGAGGTCAAATAGGGGAAATATAAGTACTTCTATTAAATGTGTTTCTCAAAGCTTTTAGGCTTTTAGGTAATGATTTGAGAAAATCATACTGTGAATTACTGCAGCTGCACTTTCCAAATAATCTTAAAATCCTGAATTGAAAGCCGCATAAAAGTGCATAGATGATATTTTAAATTTAAAACTATAGATGTAATCTAAACCTGAAGAGGCCTGTGAATATCAGGTTTGAGCAATCCAATATCAGTCATTGGTTTGAAATTAAATGTTCCACAGCCTGAAGGCAATGTGTGTTCTTGGAATCAGGATAAATGTGTGTGATAATTTCTGGAACTCCTTTTTACTGATGTAAGGAGATTGTCCATATATTTAAAAAAAAAAAAAAGTATATTTATATGTAAACATATGTAAGTATATATGTATATATGTACGTATGAATAAAAGTAGGAAGTATAATGAAGACAAGAGCCCTGTAGGGTTTGGTAGAGGTCCAACCCCTTCCCCAGCTCTGTTCCCTTCTTTGGGCTCATCTGAACTACATAAAGGTACACTTAAAAGTCCCTCCTAATCCCAGCCTCAAACATTTTTACAGGAGTTTGCAGGGAGCAGCTTGGACAGCTTCCTCACAGCTGCGTTTCACAAGGAGCACCACTTGAACTTGTTTCTACAAATGTGTTTCTGGAAGCTTTTATATTCCCTTTTAGTCTTTTGCACAGAGGCAGAGGTTAAGGTATTACTGTACCCCTTGGAGTATAAAGCATTCTGACTTTCTTGTGGTCTTGATTTCTCAAGCTTACACTCTTTCAGGAAACACTAGAAATAATGAGTTTTGTTCCCTTTCAAAGGAGCTTCAAAGGAAATATCACTTCCAACTCAAAGTACTTAATCATGTGGAAAAGAAAAGGTTTCTGAACTGAATACCCTGAGAGGCAAAGGCTAGAGAAGCATGTCGACTCTTAAATTCTTGCATCACTGATTTTCATTTGAGAAAGTACCTTGTCTTAATCAGCCCATACCCTGCAAAAGCTGTGCTTCAAGCTTATAGGGATATGAAAAGTGTTTTGACTTTAACAGTTTTCAATGTTTATTTCCACAGTGCATTGATAATATAAGGTGCAATGGATTAATGACAATAGTGTTTGAAGAAAACTCCAAAGTCACAGTGCCACATATGATCAAGTAAGTGCAACAGAGAACAAAATAGATTGTTGTGTTTCTTCAATAAAAAATTCAACAATAGAAAGCACGTGTTTAGACAATGCAAACCTTTAATTTTTTTTTCTGGCATTTTGGTTGAATGGACCTGATTCTATATTCCAAAACATATATTTTCAAATCCCTTTCTTGGAGCTGTAGGGATCACTCGGAGTGGTAAACTCTCAATTCACAGTGTTGGATCACAACTCAGGTTTTTCTGGGTTTTCAGTAGTTAGCTTCAGTTACGCCTCAGATGAATGATTTTGTTCTCAGCTTTTCCTTGTCATCTCAAAATTTTATTGGACATTTTTACAATGTCTTCAGAATTTATGTGACTGCAGACAAGTACCATTTTCAAAGGTACTTTGTTATAATAGCCAAAGTTTTTGTTCTCTGTATTTCTGTTATTTCTGTTAAAAAATTACTTTCTCTCATGATTTTAACTGATCACATCAAAGTAGCATCATTGTTTATAAGGCTGCTTCCTTTACCTTTGGATTCTCTCAGTTATTTATTGTAATAAGTGTTTTTTGTTTCTAGTGAGATATTTTCAGTACATGATTCCAGATTTTTAACACAGCTTGGATATTCTGCATACCTCAATTTACATGAGTTTTACTTTTTAGAATACAATGAATATATAAGTGAATGGAACATAGGGATAGACATAAAACTATTTCCTTTTTCACTATTATCTGTCACATCTCTTGGTGTCTCAAATGCCTCTTCTGTAGCTGTTTCTTCTCCTCTGTGCTTAGAAATGGGAGAGAGAAAGCATCTGGGAATGCACTGTTAGGGCACACACCTTTGATCCCTGGAAATAAGGCATTTTATTGTCCTCAGCTTTATTCCAGGAACTCTCCAGTGCGTAAAAACTTCTGTCACCTGCTGAGGTTTAAAAGTACATTTGTCCCCTTTTAAAGTACAGCAGGACCTCAGTCCCCATGCCAACAGAAAGGAATATTAATTCTGAAGAACATACAGGACCTTCACAACAAACACAAATTTGGTGTTCTCCTTCTTAAATTTGACTTGCCTGATTTGCAGCACAGTTTGACTTTCAGAGTCAGATGTCATTGCATGATAGAAACAAAAAACTGCCACTTTTTGGAGGCCCTAGTTTAAAAAACAATATTTTGTTGTTGTTGTTGCTTCTTTTATGTAATACAGTGTAGAATTGTGTGGAATATCCCGATCTTTCTTCTGAGAAACTCCAATAACTTATAACAAGAAGATGGGGTGTATTGAAAGATGCTTCACTTAGCATTCATCCTGTTTATTTACAAACTAGGCAAAACAGAATTTGAGGGCAAAACCCCTCCATTAGGGGTACGGTTATGTAAATTATTCTTTTTTTTTTTTTAATTTCCAAGCAGAAATTTATTGGTCTTTGCTTTTGATTTTTTCACTAAAATAAATTTTTTTCTTGGTTTCTGATTTAAAATTTGAGATGTTTTGTGCTGTTCCCTCTTTCTTCTCTTAAAACAAAAAGTAAGTCTTGGAGCTGAAGGCAGGTGTTAATTTGCAAGTAAGCCTTAAACCTAGCTAAGGGATTAATTTTTAGGATCCATTACTTTATTTTAGATAAAGCTTGATCCCACCAGAAAACATTGCAATGAATTATTCCATACTGAGATTTTAGTAACATTGACCTATGGGCCACAATAGCCTAAAAGAGACAAGAGGGGACAATTCTGCCACCTGTTCCATTTCAGAAATGTAAGCATGATAAACAGTTTCTTAGGCTTTGAGGTGTAAAGCATTTGCCAAAAATAAAATTTAAGTTCCCTTAGTTATGGAAGCATTTATCACCACAAATTAAAAGTTTTCCTGCACTGATGAAACACAAAAGTGCATAAATTTTTGTTGCTTTTGTGTTGACAGAAACAGCTGAAGGGGTACCACTCCTTTGATGCCTGGAGAAGCTGCCTAGAGCAGAGCTAGACAGAGTTAAAGGAATAAAGTAGGGATTTATTAAAAGGCCTTCAAAGGACACACCTTGGGCAGCACAAGAGCCCAGCTGTGGCTACACCCAAGATGGACTCAGAGTCACAAGTTTTCACACTTTGATAAGTTCTGGTCCATTTCCATACTGGGGTTCATTGTCCAATTCCAGCTCCAGGTTCTGCAGTCCCACCCTCCCAAGCTGCTCTCCTCCATTCCCTGTTGTTTGTACTTTTTGGGCTGAAGCTGCAGTGGTGTCCTTGGTTCTGGGGCTGGAGAAGGATTGTTCTGTGTGCCTCAGCTGTGAGGAGAGCAGCTGACACTTTATATGGAGTTGAGAGTTATTAATGCAGAGTTATTAATGCAGTACAGAATCTGGAAAATATGAAAGCTCAAACTGAAGGCAACACCTTAGCTACGATCACTCATTGGTAAAGTGTTTTAAATTTGACTTTTGTGTAGATCTGACGCCCGTCTTCACAGAGATGACATTGATATTTGCTTCAGCAAAACACTGAATTCCTGCAAAGTGCCCCAGATCCGCTACGCGAGCGTGGAGCGCCTCTTGGAGCGGCTGACGGATCTGCGGTTCCTGAGCATCGACTTCCTCAACACCTTCCTGCACACCTACCGCATCTTCACCACCGCCTCCGTGGTCCTGGAGAAGCTCTCTGACATCTACAGGCGCCCCTTCACCTCCATTCCTGTCAGGTGAGCCTGGGGTTGGCACCTTCCTGGGACCTCTCTCTCACAGATTTCTGGGAGAGATGTCACAGCCTCGGTCATTGTTTGTTTTGTGGGCGTTTTTCTCATTATTTTCTGCTTGTAAATAATCGAAGAGAAAGGTTCTTAGTGTGTAAACAGGACGCCAGTTTTATGGAGGGTCTGTCTCTGAGGACAAAGTGTCACACAGATTTTGCAATGCCATGCAGATTTGCTTAAAATTGAAGCATTTTCACTTAAATCTGTTCAGTGTTTGCTACCGTGTGTCACATTCACATTCTCTGGAAAAATTCCTTTGCCCAGGATTTTTCCCCTGGGAAGCTGAGAAGCCTCAGAGAAAAATGAAAACAAATATCTCATTTGCTTCTCCTGTGTTTTGCTTGTCTGGAATGTTTGGAGATTGTTTACCCACAGGTGATTGTTCCATTGGATTCTGCTGTGAGTTGTTTTCACTCTTTGGCCAATCAGTGCCAAGCTGTGTCAGGACTCTGGCAAGAGTCACGAGTTTTCATTATTATCTTTTTAGCATTCTGTAAGTATCCTTTCTGTGTTCTTTGGTATACTTATATAGTATTGTATTCTTTAGTATGATAAAACAATAATAATAAATTAGCCTTCTGAGAACTTGGAGTCAGATTCATCATCCCTTCCTTCATCGGGGCACCCCACAAATACAATAACCGTGCTGCTCTTTTTGTGTCTCTGCCTCTCAGGTCCTTGGAGCTGTTCTTTGCCACCAGTCAGAACAACAGAGGGGAGTACCTGGCTGACGGGAAGTCGCCACACCTCTGCCGCAAGTTTTCCTCTCCTCCTCCCCTGTCCCTCTCCAGGACCTCCTCACCCGCCAGGACCCGCAAACTCTCCCTGACCTCGCCGCTGAACTCCAGGATCGGCGCCCTGGACCTCTCAGCCTCGTCTGCGGCCAGCAGTCCTACCTCAAACTACAGCCCGGCCACGTCCCCACCGCCCACGGGCAGCAAGGCGCCGCTGGACCTGAGCCGGGGGCTGTCGTCCCCCGAGCAGAGCCCGGGCTCGGCCGAGGACAGCCTGGAGAACCCGCGCCTGGACCTCTGCAACAAGCTGAGGAGGAGCATCCGCAGAGGTACGCCTTACCCACTGCAATCCAGCGTGCTGCTGGCTGCTTGGTACCAGTGGATGTGGGGCTTTGGATAAGTCCCTGCTTTTTGGCCAGGCCTCTGGCAGCAGCCAGCAGCTTTATGGAGGTGGCCAGCACCCCAAAAGCCACTCTTGTTCACAAGTGCTATAATAATGGCTGATTCGGTCTGTTAGAGAATGAATTATTTATTTAATAGACAGAAAACTAATGGACATAAGACTTAAAACAAACTAATACTACACAAGAATAAGGACAAAAAGAAAACCACTGATAAATAGATACAGCATGAGGTTAAAAGTACCTGTTAATGTTACAGCTAGTGAAGAAATAATACAACTTGGGATTCAATGGCTCTTCCCATCCAGTTGTTGGTGGGGCACACATTGAGATCCTTTCCCTCAATCCCCAGGGAAGCATCCATGGAATCTGTGTCCAAACTCCAGGGAAAAGTCACAAACACTTTTTAGGGTGTAGGAGGCTTCTGCCTCTGTGGTAACTTGTGTGTCTTTTACAGTTTGTAAAGCAGTCAGGAATATTTCTTTTATCTCTTCCCACATCTGCTCTCCAGACTGAGATGTTGATTCTTAGCTGGGGCCTGAGGCCTTTTGGTGCTGGAGATGATGCCTTTGGGCCTTGCAGCCCGGGTTATCTCTTCATATCTGCACCCACTGTCTGTGGCAGGGAGGGGAGGACACTCCTTGCTTGCTGCTGCTCCTCTGGTCGAGGCTCTGCTGTGCTCTCTGTTCCCAGCCCTTTGCTGCTCCTTCCCAGGACCAGCAGCACAGCAAAGCCATAGGATCACAGAATGGTCTGGGTGGGAAGGGACCTTAAGGCCCATCTTGTTCCAACCCACTGCACCATGTGTTTTCACTTCAGTGCAGTGTAAGGAGAAAGGCAGAAGAGAATGTTTGATACCACTTTGTTTGCTGAGGTGAGAGATTTTTGAGTTGTAGCGTGTACTGCAGGAAGTGAAATATTAAGTTAAAAAGAAATAGCTAACAGCTTTAACATGTTTGCATAGAGGGCTGGTTTTCCAGGGAGATTCCATCAGTAATCAAAATAAATAATGCTTGTGATGTGCTCGGTACATTGGTGACATTTGTTCCAGGTGGTGTGAATGTCACCTGGTTATCCCTCCAGAAGGTACAAGTCTAAAATAGATTAATTGCTCCTGAGCAAATGCCTGTTTCCTCTAGGGATTCTGTAAGGCACCTTGGAATAGGTTTTACTTCCAGAGGGCTGAAGCTGGTTGATAAAAGCCTCAGTGTGGGTGTCTAGGGTTGGGAGCATTGTAGTTATAGATGGCAAAGCAAGGAAGTGGCTCCAGTCTCATAGGAAACAGAAGTGGACATTATTTCTCCTCTGGGGATGGAAGAACGATCTTCCTAATTGGAATAGAAGTTTGCAGTAATCTTCTTTTTATTGTTGTTACACTAAATAGAAATTGATGCAATTTAAAAATGCTTTTATTATTCCTAAAATTAATATTTTAACATGGTTGTACATGGCCTGGCTTACAGTCTGAGAATTTGATCTATTAATCTGAGCAAGACGTAGTTCAATTTTAGTCAGTAGTACTATAATAATAAAAAATTAAAGAGAGGAAAGAAGAAAAGGATTACCAAATACAAAGTTAGACAAATGTGTTTGAAAAGTTATGTCTGCTCTGTTAGTAGTGCCCTGCTAATAAATTAGATGTTTATTTGTGCCAGGGGATTGTTTTTACAGAATGCTGCCTATTTTTTAACAAAAAAATCACATTTTAACAGGGAAGTTATCCACTGTAGCATTCTAGGAGTCTGCCTATCAAGTGCAGGGGCCAGTGTCATCAGAATAACGTTGGGTTTTGGACCATGGGGTGGTCTACACAACACCTGATGAGATGCACCTCTCAGAGGGGAAAAGAGTTTCTAGCATAGGAACTCGGAGGATTCATCAATAGAGCTTTAAACTAGTTTGAAGGGGGAAGGGACAAAACCAGATAGTGAGAGGCAGTGGGGTGATGCACTTGAGGAACTGAGTGCTGGTGGGAGGTGTTGGCTACGACAGACCAGAGCTGAAGTGTTTCTGTTCCAACACACACAGCATGAAGACCAAACGAGAGGAGCGTGGATCCTTGGCCCAGTCCCAGTGATTTGACATCACTAGCATAAGTGAAACTTTACCAGGATGAGTCCTGTGATTGAAGTGCCCTACTGAACATTTACAGACTCTTTAGGAAGAATAGGCAGGGCAGATGAGGCAGAGGGAGGCACTGTATGTAACAGAAGGGTTAGAATTTAGGGAGGTCACAGTTGAGAGCCTCTGGGAAGGAATCAAGGGGCAGTGAAAGGATGCAGATGTCTCTGTGGGAGTCTACTGCAGATCTTCTGGCCTGGACTGTTGCCTTTTTCCCATCCTGGAAATGAAAGTCAAAATAATTTTAGAAAGAAGGTAATATAAGAGTAGATCTTTATTTGAAGGCCTTCAGAGATAGTTATCCACAAAAACCCACCCCCACAGCAGTATCTTTTATAGGTGTTAGGAAATTTGTAAAATTGATAAAAAGCACCAGTTAGGAGGAAAAATGGTGATGTAATTCTCTTCCAGGTAAAGTCCCTTCTCTAGAGTCTAAGATTACTAAAACACCTGGATGCCAACTTCATGTACAAGTACTAGGAGAGCTGACTAGGAAAGGTGCCCTTCTTGATTTGTTGCTTGTTAATGGAGAGGGTTGTAGGAATGACATGATTGGTGGCTATCTTGCTACAGCAGCCACAAAGTGATTTAGTTTAAAATCTCTGTTGCTAGGAGGAAAAGTGTCAGAAAATTTTCACCCTTGGACATGAGTAGAGCAGACTTTAGGCTGCTCAGGGAAATAGTGATCAAGATCCCTGGGAAAATTCTTCTGAAGGTGCTGGGGTCCATTAGTGTGGGTCACTTTTTAGGTATCACCTATGGGCACAGGAAGCGGCAATTCCAAAATGTTGAAAGTCAAACAGATGTGACAGAAGGCTGGCTTGGCTGAACAGGGTTCTTCTTTTGGAGGTAAAGCAGAGAAGGAAGGTGTATGTCCAGCAGGAGAAGGTTGGGTGACATGGCAGGACCACAGAGATGGTGCTCTGCAGGAAGAAAATTTTTGCAGCCAAAGTGTAACTGGAGTCAAAACTTGCCAGAACTGTGGGCGATGATAAAGAGAGGATTTTAAAATACATTGGCAGAAAACAGTGCAGAAGTCACATTGGCCTATTCCAGAATGAGGGTGGTCAACTCACAAATAGAGAATTTGACAAGACAGGGATATGTATTGGTTTTTCTTACCTCTCTTCAGCATGGGCTAAGGGAATCCCAGTGCTCTGAGCTGAATGACCATGGTTTGAGAATGATAAACTCACAGTTGATCCTGAAGTTGTAGGGATCTGCTGCAGCAGCTGCATTCCTATAAATCTATGGAGCCTGATGGGATTCATCTGAGACTACTCAAAGAGCCAGCTGATGTAATTGTGAGGCTTCTCTCAATATCTGAACAGTCTTGGATGTCTGGAGAGGTCCCAGTTGAATGGATGCTGGTTAAGATTGTCCCAATTTTCAAAAAGCACAGGAAGGGTGACCCTGGAAACTACAGGCCCAGCAGTCTCACTTCAGCACCTGGTAAGGTAATGGAGAAAATTACCCTGGGAGGTATTGGAAAACACCCTGAGGCATCACATTACAGAAAAATAGACAAAACCTCCCTAGCAGCAGTGCAGCACTGAGCAGCAGCCACTCCTCACTCAGCTGGAGGCACGAGGGGCTGTCTTCTCTCAGATATTCTGTGTGCATGCTGAGCACAGAAAAGGCTCCTGTTCCAGGCTGTGTTGTACAGGAGTGCTCACAGGTCCTCCCAGAGCAAACATACATATGATAATTATTCCCCCAAAGTCATCAGCATATGTTCCTTCCCTTTTCACATGAGTTTGTCTGTATCAGTGGTCTGGACAGTGGTCTCTAGTGGTTGTAGGCCCTGAAGTGACACTTGACCACCCCATGAGTTCGGTGTTATCCCAAAATCTGGAGCCAAGTTAGCCCAAACAATGTAATTTGTTATTTTGGAGATGAAAGTGTATTCTCCTGCTCCTCTTCTTGGTTGATGTTTAACGTGATCCCCATTATGCAGTTCCACAGGCCAGTGATTTCACAAAATAATCATTGTCTTTTCCCTAGCAGCTGAGCAAACAGGTATTCATCTGGCAACAACAGGTCAGCACAGCCTCACAAGGGGGAGGTCCTGCTGGTCACACCTGAGTTCCTTCTATGACAGGGTGACACACCTGGGTGACCCAGGAGAGGCAGTAATGTGATCTTTCTGGATTGCATCAAAGCTTTGGATACAGTCTCTCCCAGGATCCATCTGGACAAACTGTCCAGCCCACAGGTGGATAAAAACATCGTGGGCAAGGGCTCATGAGGCAGGCACAGAGCCTGGCAGTGACTGAGGTGACACCAGGCTGGCACTGCTGGGGTTCCAGGGTTCTGTGCTCTGCCCTGTGCTCTTCAGCATCTTCATTAGCAACCTGGACACAGGACTTTAAGGAGTACTGAGTAAGTTTGCTGATGACACTAAATTGGGAGGAGCTGTCAACTCCCTCGAGGGCAGAGAGGCCCTGCAGAGGGAGCTCAGCAAATGAGGGGTGGGAATTCACCAAGTGTGTCGGGTTTAACAAGGGATTCTGCACCTGGGATGGGCACCCCTGGCTGTGTGGATGCACTGAGGAACAAGGGGCTGGAGAGCACCTGTGGGACAGGACCTGGAGGTCCTGGTCCATGTCCAGTTCAATCTGAGTCTGGAGCCAGGAGGGACATCCCTGTCCTGGGGGGTACCAGGCCCAGCATCACTCGCTGGGGCAGTCTCACCTCGAGTCTTGGGGACAGTTTTGGGCATGTCAGAACGAGCTAAAGCTGTTAGAGAGTGTCCAAAAGAGAGACATGGAGATGGTAAAGGGTCTGGAGGGGCCACACAAGGATCAGCTGAGGGTGCTTGGTGTGTTCAGCTGGAGCAGAGAAGGTAGGGGAGAGCTCAGCAGGGGCTGCAGCTCCTTCCAAGGGACAGCTCCCATCTCTGCTCCCTGTGACAGGGACAGGAGCCAAGAGCTGGGATGGGGCAGGATCAGGCTGGAGATCAGGGAAGGTTCTGCTTCCCCAGAGGGTAACTGCTGGCTCTGCCCAGGGAATGGGCACAGCCCCGAGGCTGCCAGAGCTCCAGCAGAGCTTGGACAGCACCCCAGGCATGCCCAGGATGGGATTGTTGGGCTCTGGGCAGGGCAGGGGTGGCACTGGGGGATCCTGTGGGTCCCTTCCAGCCCAGGGGATTCTGTGGTTCTATGATACTTGCTCATGCTTTATGCTTTCAAAACATACTGGTTAGCTGTTGTGCATAATCATGGATATTATACATGCAGTATGCTGGGTGTTTTTACATTAATTGCACAACAGAATATTTATATATATTTATATATATATAGACAGAGAGAGAGAGAGAGTTTTTTCTATGCAAAGTTGAGCAAATTCTTCTTGCGCACTACTTTAGCCACCAGTGTGGCTGAAAACCAATGTGATGATAGCACAGCATATCCCAAAATAAAGGCCATGTATTGAAATTAATCATAGACAGGTAACTGCTGTCTAAGCTGTAACATTTTTTCTAGACGTTGTAAAGTGGACTGGTAAAGAGCAGGTTGTTCTGCCCAAGTGTAGGCAGTGGGCACTGTTGGGGAGTTATTCACATTTCTCATTGTGGTCTGTCAAAGCTGGAAGCGTTACCTGGGCAGCATGAGGAGCACTTGGAAATGGCCAGAGGCCCATATAAATGCTAAATTGCTGTCAGTGCAGTCTCCCACCCCTTTGGGCATCTCCTGATGAACAGCTTGTGCTCAGTCTGGAGGAATTTGCTGGTAGAGAACTCTGTCCTGCAGTAGCTCTGTCCAGCTGCATGCAGAATGTTGATGAAAATGAGGAGGTTTAATAAGAGATCTCATAAGGGGGATGAAAATGGGTAGTCCTGTTGCTCTGATACTGCCAGAGTTCCAAAAAAAATCAGCTCTGGCTTACTTTAAGTCCAGCACAATTGCACAAATTCTGTTTCTGAGGACATATTATTATGGTGGCTGCTGTTCTCTATGACTGTTGTCCATTTATAAGCTGGGATTTTCAACTTTTTTCCCTACCTTCAAAATTGTTTCCTTTCAGAGTTTCTGTTTTCCAAAGTTTTTGTTTATGTTTAGTTTTATATACACAATGCTTGTGCTGCAGGCAGAGCTGTCATTCACATCAAATATAGGATGTATTTTATCAGCTTGTTTTCCCTCAGTTTGGAAGTAGTGTTTATCCCATTCCTGTTTTTATTCTTCTGATAAAAGAACTCCACTGTAGACTAGTCTGCTCTCCAGTGCTGTTTAGCAATTCTATTGGTCAGATTTTGATTACCCTTTGTTATTCAACAAGGATTATTTTCCCTAGGTCATAGAATATCTATGAGTTCAAGTACCCTTGTTATGTGTGCATGTCACTGCATATTCTCCTGATTGAAAGTGCAGTTTTATCCAACACACTTTAAAACTGACAACTTGCTGGTTTTCACCAAGTTGTTTATTTATTTGTTTTTGCTGTTTTCACCAAGGTGTTTTTCATTTATTTATTTGTTTGTTATGAGCTATTGTGTCAGTGGTACAAGACTTTCCCACTCTTTTAACTCCATCCAGAGGATAATTACTGCTGAGTTAATGGCAAAATCCCAAGGCAAGTTACAGGCGCGGTACTGTTTGAAACAACTGTAAACCAAATTATGCCTGATCATCAGTACTGACATGTATTCTCTTTTAAAGCAGCAGTTCTGGAAACTGTGTCAGTGGACAGGACCATTCCTGAGAGCACCTCCGTGGTGGACACTGCAGAGCTGTCCCCGTGCAGGTCCCCTTCGACGCCGCGTCACCTCCGCTACCGGCAGCCAGGAGGTGAGAGCTGTGCTGGCACTGCCAGTCACTTCCAACAGGGCTTGATCACTGTGCTTGTGATCTCTGCAGGGCAGCAGAAAGCACTAATGATGTCCCAATCATCTGGCTTGCTTGTATTTTTCTTGTTTCTCAGGTGTTAAAAATAAAAGAGCCATTAAAATGTGAAATGCGCCTGTTAAATTTGAGCAGCAATAATGAGGCATGGAAGCATGTTGAGACTTCAGTATGATTCAGTGTTCTGAAATAGCTCAAGCAGGATGTGCCCAAGTTCAAGACTAATATTGAATCAGTCCTGTTCTCACAGAACTCTCAAGACTCTGACATATTTTTTTCAGCTGATGAGGGGACATATTTTGGGCACCATCTGTAATCATGAAACACACAACACCCATTGTTGTCAATGGGAAGGGACTGCGTCTGTTTCTTTGTGTAATGCTGAACATTTACAGATGGTCTCACATTATTCATTCCAAAATTTGAAAAGGCTGCTCAATTGAAGAGGAAAAAGAGGGGCTGGATCTCCTCAAATAACTCTCACGTGGCCCTTTGAAATCATTAGCAGGGCTGTGAGCTGAGTCCATGAAGACTTAAAATGCTGCCAGCTCCTGCAGGACAGGTTTCTGGGCAGGTGTTTCATACCTGGGACTAAAACAAAAGCAGAGCAGAGCCTTCTCACCTGTTACCAGGACACTTTAGATTCAAACCAGTGGTAATTTTATGTGATTGGGCACATTTGTGGCAAGAAGGCAAGATCTGGGAGCTGGAAACTGTGGGCAGTGTCATATTATCAGAATTCTGGTTAAAGACAGTGTTCACAGCACTCCCTGTAGAGAAAGTTTGATAAATTCTGCAAAACTCTGCTCATTCTGAGCAGTGACCAGGGAAAATAAGTGAATCCAGTTATCAGAAGATGGTGAATATCCTTAATTCTCTGACATAACTTTTTGTTTTAGGTTAATTTTCTATGCCATTGTTTTTTCTTTATATCTTTTTTTTCCCCCTCCTATTTGGTTAATATCTTGTTCCACCTCAGCAGTGTCTTAGATGTTTTTTCTATAGCAACATTAATTATACCAATGTGGAAATATAAACCGTAAATATGATCACGATACTTCTGCTGCCTTTCACAGAAAATCATCTGACAGTTTAAATAAACACGATGTCCACAAAGTTACAAACATTACTGAAGATTCTAAGTCTTGTCGCTGGTTGATGAAAAGTTTGTAGAAGTTAACTTTTTCCTGTCCTTCCCCTTTACAGTGCAGACTGCTGACAACAGCCACTGCTCGGTGTCTCCTGCTTCTGCTTTTGCCATTGCCACAGCAGCAGCCGGGCACGGGAGCCCGCCAGGTGAGGGGGCGTGCTGTGCATGCAGGTGACACACAGGTGCTCAAGAGGCGAATGTTCCTCAAGAACAGACCTCTGTGTTCTCATGAGTGATGTTCTCATCTCAGCCTGGTCTAGTGGAAGGCGTCCCTGCTCACGGCAGGGCTGGAACTGGGTGTTTTTAAGGCCATGTCCAACCCTATTGGTCGATTTCTTAATATTTTTAATCCCTCCTGTTAATGGAAGATTAATATTTCACATGTACATGATGTGCTAAACATCCAAATAAGATTTTTTTCTTTGTTTTTTTTTTATTCACTTAAAATTTAAGATTTTATTTTTTAACCTGAGGTTTTCTATGTCCAAAGGTGGTAGTCAGTTTTACTTATTGCGATTGTATACTGTAGTTTTCTCAGAAAGCAACTACTGACTGAGGGTATTTAGTGCAACATAAAATACTTGATTTAAGTTTTGAATGTGCTGCTTATCTTGCTGTGCTCCCTTTGACATATTAATATCTTCCACTAACAGGGTCCTTTCATAGGTCATGTTGCACATAACCAACAATTTTTTTAGTCTAAAAAATCAATTTCCCTTTCACTTGACAAATCCACAGTTCATTTTGAGTATGTGTGACAAAGCACAATCCAGCTGTAAACTCATGCTTGCCTCTTTCCCACTGGAATGTCAAAAAATTGCTTTGAAGACCCCAGTCTCAAAATCACCCATGAAAATCTGTGTAAGACTGTAAATGGTCCTTATGGATCTCAGTGGATTTTGTATCCACTATGTCTAGAGCTCTGGTCATTAATTGATGGGTGAGATGACACCAGGAGAAAATAATTTTTGCATGAGTATGCATCACTGCTCCTCTTAGCCTTGTGTACTTCCCATGATCTTTAGATTACAAGACAGTGATGTTCAGTGTTAGAAACTTTATCAGAGAATCATTTAGGCTGGAAAATCCCTCCCAGATCATCAGGTCCAGCCTGTGCCTGATCCCCACCCTGTCCCCAGCCCAGGGCTCTGAGTGCCACCTCCAGGGGACACCTGCAGGGCTGGGCACTCCAAACCCCCCTGGGCAGTGCCAAGGCAGTTCCTGAGCCCCCTTTCCATGGGGAAATTCCTGCTGTGCCCACCCTGAGCCTGCCCTGGCCCAGCCTGAGGCCGTTCCCTCTGCTCCTGTCCCTGGTCCCTGGAGCACAGCCCGGCCCCCCCGGCTGTGCCCTCCTGGCAGGAGCCGTGCAGAGCCACAAGGGCCCCCTGAGCCTCCTTTGCTCCAGGCTGAGCCCCTGCCCAGCTCCCTCAGCCTCTCCTGGGGCTCCATTCCCTTCCCAGCCCCCTCAGTGCCTCCTGGGGCTCCATTCCCTTCCCAGCTCCATTCCCTGGACAGGCTCCATTCCCTTCCCAGCCCCCTCAGCCCCTCCTGGGGCTCCATTCCCTTCCCAGCTCCATTCCCTGGACAGGCTCCATTCCCTTCCCAGCTCCCTCAGCCTCTCCTGGGGCTCCATTCCCTTCCCAGCCCCCTCAGCCCCTCCTGGGGCTCCATTCCCTTCCCAGCCCCCTCAGCCCCTCCTGGGGCTCCATTCCCTTTCCAGCTCCCTCAGCCCCTCCTGGGGCTCCATTCCCTTCCCAGCCCCGTTCCCTGGACACTCTCCAGCCCCTCAGGGCCCTGCCTGAGCTGAGGGGCCAGAGCTGGACCCAGCCCTGGAGATGGAGCCTGGGCAGGGCCAGCACAGGGACAGTCACTGCCCTGTGCTGCTGTCACAGCCCTGGGCCCTCCTGGCCACCTGGCCCCCCTGGCTGGTGTCCAGCTGCTGTCACAGCACCCCAGGGCCTGTCCCAGCTTCCCAGCCCCTCTGCCTAGCCTGGATTGCCAGGGGTTGTTGTGACCCAAGGGCAGGGCCTGGCACTTCCCTTGTGGACCCTCACAGCCATGGCCGTGGCCCACGGTCCAGCCTGTCCGGAGCCCTCAGTGCTCCAGAGCCCTCCTGCCCTCCAGCAGATCCACACTGCCACCCACCCCGGTATCACCCATCAACCCAGGGGGCAGAGCACTCGGTCCCCTGGCCCAGGTTTTGAACAGGATCGCCCAGCACTGCTCCCTGGGGACACTGCTGGTGACCAGCTGGGTCAGCACTGTCCCAGCACTGTCCCCACTGTCCCCATGAGTCAGCGCTGTCCCCACTATCCCAGCACTGTCCCCACTGTCCCTGGGCCAGGCTACCAGCCAGTCCTTATGCCAGGGGAGATGTCCCTCTGCAAGCCCTAGGATGCAGCTTTTCCAGGAGATGCAGTGGGAGTCCAGGTGACACATCCACACCTTCCCCTCACCTGCCAGGTGGATCACCTGGTCACAGGAGGAGAGCAGGTTGGAGCTGCCTTTCCTACACCCCTGCTGGCTGGGTGTGGGGTTTTGTGAAGGTGTTTTGAATGAGTTAGAGACGAGACCTCTGAGTTTTTTAGATGATGTGGTTTATTTTGCTTACCTTTTACATAGACAGGAAAGGTGAATTCTGCTCACATCCTCACCACATGGCTCAGAAGGTCACGAGACCTCTAGTTACAGGACATTTTAAGGATTTATTGACCAATAAAACACTGCCAACAAGGATATTTATGTTTTTGACCCAATCCTTAAATATTTTGTCTTACAGACCCAGGCTACAGTGTAAGCTTTCTTAGCCAATCATGTTATGACCTACAAACTTACAGCACTGCATTCTAAACTCCTTGTTTACCTCTGTAACTACTTTTATTTTTTCTTTGTCTTAAACTTTAAAACTCTGAACTTTCCTTTGCTTAGCTCAATGTGTCTCTGCTTTAAACTACAAATCCACAATCTCCCTTCTAGCACCTGAGTTTGGGAGCCTTTCCCAAGGTCTCAGATCAAACCCTGGGTTTAATTCTAAGCTTTGGCTTACAGACCCAAAGTTCTGAGAGCTCCCTGCATTTCACATTTCAACATCTGGGTCTGGCTCTGTGCTTGTCCTGTATGTGTGATCACCCTGTCTGGTGAACCTGTTACAAACTTCGGTTTAGCAATTTTTATTTGAATGATGAATATTCTCTGCCTTTGGAATCAGACTCTGCATGAAAACACTGACACAATTTGCTTTATGATTTAACCCAGTACATTTACAGATTGTTTAGAAAGCAAAGTAAGGATAGAAAATACAGGGGTTTTCCCACTAGGAATTAATTCAATTGAAAAATACTGCTTTTGTGTTGTTAAAACCACTGCTTTCCAATATTCATAATACTGAAGTATGAGAGAAAATACAATCTTCAATTATGCAGTCATTAGAAGGAACATGCAAGCTTGGGAATGTTGAAATGGAAAAACAACATTCCTTAGATTTGTAAGTTCTTTTTCATGTTGCTGTTTAACGAAACTCTTCATTACAGGTCACTTTCCCAAGTGATGTAAAAAATAGAAGGCTGTGCAGCAAGTTTGACAAGAAAATGTGTGGTTTTGAGCCTCAGAAGATTAAGTTAGAGTTATCCAGTGTCCACCTGAAATGAGTAGAAAACTGAAGGTTGCAAACCAGACCTTACACCATGGAATCACCCATTGTGTAACTTGGTGTAATTATTCATGGTAGAGACAGTACTAAACTTGCAGAATCATGAAGTTCAAATTTGGCTAAACCAAATTTCATTTATTTGCCCTGTGTGTTTTATCATGATTGTGAGATTTTTTTTGAAGAGTGCCTTTTTTTTCTCGCTGGTTCCTGGAGTTGTTTGTTTTGTAGGCTGGACATGACCAGTCAGTGAATCAGCTCTGGGAGTGAATGACATTGGTGGGGTTTTTTTGTTTTCTGCTCAGTCATTCCTTGGCTTCCCTGCTGCAGACACTCTGACGTGTGTAATTTACAATACTCCTACGTGGAGCATGAGCAGAGTGGCAGATGAAATGCAGTGTTGGTTAATACCAAGTAATGCACACGAGGCAAAACAGTCTGAGCTCTGCACCTGAAAGGACTGGCTCAGGACTGAGGATGAGAACAGGTCCTTTCATGAAGTGATCTGGGTGCTCAGCAGGAGCCAGAAAGGTGAAGAAAACATCAGGAATTGTATGGAAAGGAACAGGAGAGACTACTATGGTACCACAGTACAAATGCAGAATTTGTACAAATATTGAAGGATGGGTACTGTCGTGATTGAGGTGAGAGAGTGAGAGCTGGAAAAGTTTGGGAGTTTGAAATCAGGGATGGGGTGAGACATGGAATAACTTCTGTGCATGTGAAGTTTAGAGAAGAGAGGGCTGCAGAGTTGATGAGAACATTCTGTAAAAGGCTGGATGGGTAAAAGGGAAGGAGAGCAGCAGTAGTGAAAACAGTGGTGTGGGTAAAGGCTTTGACTCAGTGCTCTAAGAGGTCCTTTCCAACCCTATCAATTCTACAATTCCAAGATTTTCTGTCTTTTCTGATGCAGGATGTAGGACGTCAGACAGTTTTCATGGAGCCAGGTTTCAGAATGAGCAGGAGTTTGTGGCTCTTTGTGCCATCAGTAGAAGCTCAGTGAGGTTCTGCTGAGGAACACCCCAAAGGGAATAGACTCACCTGGGATCCAGAGTAGAGTTACCTGCAAGCAGGGGTTGTTTGAGATTACCAGACTAGCAAAGTATAATAGGACAGCAGCTGAAATCAGCTGGCCCTTGTGGGGGAATATTAGGAGGTACAAGTCACCTGTGTGTCTTCTGTCCTTACTGCTCCCTGAAGCCTTCTGGCCATTTTGTGTTTTGGTGTTGTTTTTGAAATTTTATGTGTTAGTTTATTTAGTTATTTATTTTATTTTGGGGATCTTTGGGGTTTACTGCTGACTGTTTTATTTTGTTTACCCAGGGTATGAGACCTTAGCTCTTCTCCATTCCCCATCTCCCAGTTCTGGCTGGGATGCACTGGGACAAACTGGGTAACAGACTCACAGCAAGGCCCTGTGCTCACACACTCCCTCAGAACCAGCCATGGAGGACATGTAGTTATCTTCTATGGAGAGTTCTGGCCACAGCACTTCAGCAC